CTAACTCAGTTACACTTCAAGATAAAATCTCCACCATTTAGCCTATACTACTCATTACTATGAATACTCGATGATAGCCGTAAACTACACTGTCAAACTGCATGTCAAAGAACAGAGTTAAAGTTCTGCAACCATTTTTTTCTGGCATTTTCTACCCTCTAGATGTAAAATGAGCATCATGGATTAGAACTAAAGTGTTATTAAAAACAAAACATTTAGTGTGAATATATCACTATGTAAAATAGCAAGCAGTGTAAACATGACTTCAGAAACAGTGCTGTAAAAACACGTTTGAGCTTTTGAGAAGTTAGATATGGTCCCACACTCAGTCACTGGCATAATATCACTGCAATAGTAGAGATCTTAAGGATTTACCAGGCAAACAAAATATTAAGAACACCCTTTAACACTCAATAGTCAAAAGCTTCCATTAATTTCCATAATATGAACCAGATCTAAAGCTATCTACATGCTTTTAGTTACTATCTCTTGAACAGACTCACAAGAATTTTCAAGATGCACAATTCTTCACATTGCTATTCAAGTAATTTTTTATTTTACCATATCCAAGGATCACTGTGCAGACTCATGGAAATACAGCCCAACAATAGAAGAATTATGCAAACTGACAGTGCTCAATCTTTCCAAAAGGAAAGCTTTCTATTTTTATCCTAATGACAGAGCCAGGGTCTCCTCTTGCCATACAACAGGACCTAATTGCACCTAGTCTTATAGTCTCAGGAAGTATTAGAACTGCAAACCACTATCTGTGCTTCTTAGCATACACAATATCCCTACTTGTATCAGGAGTCCTAGAGAAAGGGTTGGAAGCTGGCTCTTATCCTTACCTTGCCTGTTGCCTTTTGAAACTAGGCAGCTGTCCAAAACAGTCAAGGGGATTCTGTGGGTCCCACAGACACAACCATCTAAAAACCTATATGCAGCAGCAGAGTGAGGGTCAATCAGGTATTCCCCAGGCCTGAAAGTTAGAGATCATAAAGTGTGCTTATGATCTGTGAAGCAACATCAGATGTTTCTTGCCTACAGACAGCTTCACATCTCTTTTATTTTGGAGATAGGCAACAACAGATGAATCTATCTTACAGATAGGTGGGTTGCATATTAGCATCAATGATACCTAAAGACAACAAAAATAAAAGCTTAAGTATGCTGAGAGAGAAGTTTTGTAGCACCTTGCAACGCAGAGGCCTGCAGAAGGCAGCTTTTATGCTGAGAGTAATGCACATTTTTTTCCTTGGCACCAAGAAATATTTTTGTGGAGTTACATGTTCTTCCAGTTACAACTTCTATTTGCTTAATTTTAAGCTTTCTAGGAAGCATCCTACAATACAAAACTTTTAAACATGGTGCTCATACTTGCCATAAGTTATCTGTAAGTTCCATATCAATTCATTGCTCTGAAAAAAAAAATTATTTTCACATACTGCAAGTTGCTTTGAAATCAAAACAAATCCCTTGGAAGAAGTTCAGATCCAGCAACACAGAACTCTAACCAGCACACAGTTAAGTTACAAAAAGAAGCGAAAACAATCCCTTAACAAGTATTTAGCCCCCAAATTACTTGAAAAAACTAAGCATAATGCTTGGGTTCCTCCTCCCCACTTGTGTCAAGACTTGCTCCTTCATGTTGCAAAAATATCTTATGAAATAAATTAAGAACTATCAAACTCTAACAGTGCAGTTCATTTTTCTTGTTTCCTTTCATGTTAGGTGTATTCATTAAGGGTTGGACTTGATGATCTCAGAGGTCTTTTCCAACCTGGTTGATTCTATGATTCATTTTCATCTACCCAGCCTAAATCCAAGGAGCTTTCAATATTGACTCTTGCTCTACATTAAACATGCTTCTTGACACAGTATACTTGATCAAACTGTTCTTCTGGGCAGCACTACACATCTAATGAAGTTTTTATTTATATAATTTCTCACTTGCACCTTTTCTGAAATATTGGCTCCCAGCACAAGAATGGGAGATAACCAGTGCATGAAATAACTCCTTCCTTGAGGGTGGTGATCTGGAACCTGAGCAAAGGGTTGCCCAAAACATTATTCCCAGTCATAATGAATAGCTACGTAAAGTCACTAGATCAGGCAAAGATTGACAGGGATAAGGAGAGCCATGCAGAAACACCTGGATTTGTGACAACCTTCACTGCAGATGTACACTTAGCTGATTGCATGAAGGGGGGCTTGTGGTTCAGAAATGGTCCTATCCCTCACTGATACAAGCTGCTCTCCACAAAGTGGTTGCTGCCCTTTCCATCTAGCTAGGAGTTCCTAAACTATGATGTACTGCAGTAGACCCGAGCATGCTATATTAGTTTATAAAATATGCTTAGATGCTGTGCTTGAATTTTTAACAAGTCCCCAACTTTATCAATATCTTAGTGCTGGCTACAATAATCTACCATTTAAACAAACATTCAGGGGGACAAGTTTTCTGCTTCAATTTATCAAATACTGGTTACAGGATTAGCAACTGAAACCAGAATCTGTTGAAATGTTGAACCAGCCTTTAACAGCAGTAGCTCCTATCAAGAAGGTACAAAGAGAACACTTCCCGTATTTCAGTTTATTCAGCTAGTTCAACAACCCAGAGAGAAAGGTCATATTTATCCAAGAATAAAGAAGGTGCCAAAAGCTGATGTACCAGCTCCAAGTGTTCCATGAGCACAAATCAAGCATTTGTATTTCAAATCAACTATCACTAATACTTTAGGGTCCCATTAAACACAGGCCTTTCTCAAAATATTTATATTTTAACTTAATTAGAAGGTTTTGTACTTCCCCTCCAGTTCCTATTCTCAAAGGGAAGAAAATTCCCAAACTCTCATTGCCACAAAATTGAAAAGAAGTTACTGAGTGCATATTTCTAATCCTGCTTACCTGCCTTAGGAAACTAAAAAGACAAAACAAGATGAAGCTAGATTTTCATCAAGTCAAGAAATCTTAAAAACTTATAAGATGCTGATCTGAACTAGTGCTCACCTTGCATATACTATGAATATATCATAGAAGTCAACCCACAAAGAAAGTTAGATATTAGCCTTATCTCTAAATAATTCAGTAAGCCAAGTATAACACATCTAAAAATTTGCCTGAAGGCCCAATATAGACAAAGTCAACAACATCACTTCTCAGGACCAAAGGACTCCTTCTCCCTAGTGACAGAACAGTGGTCTAAAAATCACTTTTTCATAGGCTCAGAAGTTAAGATGCATAACCAAAGATCAAACAATACCAAAACAAAATCCACCATGCACAGCTCCTCATGGAGGAAAGATGAGACAGAAACAACATATGAGATACTTCAGCAATGCTGCTTGAAGGGAATTCCTCTGCTGTGGAGGGACAAAGGCATCAGGAAACCTTCATCTCCCAGTCAAAATAAGCATCACAGGATTGGTCAGAAGGATTTAGAAGAAAGGTACAACAGTTCAAGGACATATAATACCAAAAAAGATATCACATTCATAATACTGAGGTAAGGCAACTGGCAACACTTGTTAATGCACATCCCTGGATCATTTAACAGGCTGCTTCAGCTTCTTTGCAGGAACAATTATAAACATACAGTCCAGAGAGCTCCCCAACCAAAGATATTTTGATCCATTGTGATTTCTTTGAAAAAAATAGATAAGTAATGTAAGGGCAGGAAGAGGTTGCCAAACCATTTGGATGTAAAAATGACCCAATTACCAACCCAAGACTAGAGCAACTTCCTGAATAAGTAATAATGAAGGCGAGTCTAAGAATACACCTATCACACCTACATGAGCATGCCAACTAACTCATTATAAAAAGCAAGCCTTGTGCCAAAGCCTTCCCTTCCTTCTAAATGATGAAGCCAAACTGAATGCGACTCAAATCTATTATTCCCCATGCTACAGGTTATTTTGTTTTTGTGTTTAAAAAGCTCTTAAACCTTGACCCAGAGGCCAAGATGCATGTCAGCCAAGCAAAGAAATCATCCAAAAATTAAATTTGGTTTGACAGAAATCAAAGGGCATGAAATGAGAGACACAGAAGCCACTACTAAAACAGTAACTCCTGGGAGAAGCAAGCTGAAGAGGATATTATTTTGCTAGAGACCAAGCAGACATCAAGTGCAAATGAGCATGCCTGATCCAACATATCCTCTGCAGGCACTATGTTTTTTCAATTGCTTCCTTTAAGAAAAAACATGCCATTCCTCCTCCAATTGTTTTGAGAATTTAAGTCTTCTCCCTTTCTGGGGCAGCAGTGCCAGATTTCTTGCTTACTATATTTACAAGAGAACCACAAGATTTTTTTTTTTTTGTTAACAGGAAGACAGAGATAAATTAAAAGCATTTATCTACCTTCATCAATTATGTGTTGCTGTAGCCATTTGAAGGCTGCCCTCTAGAAGTATGGAGAGGAAGAAAACAGAAAAAATAATGAAAAACAGTCCTGAAATCCATGAATTTTTGAAAAAAACCACAGCCTTTATCTTGACTTAGTCATCCTACACGACAAAGAAAGCTATTGGGGGAAGCTCCCTTGAAATAAATATACACAGACTAGAGCCAAGAGGGTAACTTGGGGGTGAAAGGGAAGAATTTGCACCGTACCATGAGGTACCTGCCTTTCTTTGGGGTTAAAATAGAAAAAGAATAGAGACAGCTGTAACACGGCCTCCTCTCCCCAGAGGGCATCCTGGGAGGAGAAGAGGCCCTCCAGGCCCCAGCCAGCCTGCCCTGCAGACCGTCCCCCCGCCACCGGCAGCGGGCGGGGAAGGGCAGCTCAGAGAGCACCACCTACGGGCGCCGAGCCGCCCTGCCCTCCCTAACCCCGGCCCCCTCCCGCAAGGGGCGAAGGGGCTGACAGCGGCCGCGGGCCCGCTGCCCCGCCACAGCCCCTCCGAGCCCGACAAAGAGACCTGGCAGGCGGCGAGGGGAATGGTGTAGGCCCCGGCGGCGGGAGGCCCGGTCCACCAGCGGGGCGGGGAAAGGTCGTACCTTGAAGTACCCGCCCTCGTAGAGGGTGTTGGGGGGTCCGAAGATCGCCACCTCCCAGTTGTAGAGGTCGGACTCGTCGACCAGGGTGATGCGGAAGCCCTCCACCGGCTCCTCCTGCAGCGACTTCAGCTCCAGCATCAGCGCCTTCTGCGAGCTGCTCATCTGCTGCTGGGCCATGGCGCGGCGCGGCCCCCGCCGCCCACGCTGCTGCTGCCGCTGCCCCGCCGCCGTCGCGCTGCCCCCACAGGCCCCCCGCCCCTCCCCGCGCTGACAGCCGTCGCCGCCGCCGCCACTTCCTTTTGTGACGGCGCCCACTCGCAGCTGACCTCAGCGCGACGCGCCGCACTACACAGCAAGCCACACCCTACCCCGCGTCCCGCCCCTACCGGCGCGCTTAAAGGGGCAGCGCTCTCCACCACAGCGTTTGTGGTGTGAGTGGTTCCTGATGTTACATCAGCCCTTACGGACCAGGCCTGCATCTCGCCTGGAGCGGAAGAGAAGTTGCGTGCTGAGTTATGAGTGGGATAGAGGGGGCGGTGCTCTGTGGGTGTCACGGATGGGTACGGTGGCCCACGGCCAGTCGGTGCTGCTGCGTTGACAGAAACTCACGGTCAAAAAAGAGCGGTTTTTGTACAAAGGATGGTTTTTGAGAAGCGACCTTGCATGACCCAGCGTCATCTAAAAGCCCTGCAGCAACCCCCAAGCAGCAGGAGAGGAACTGACAGTTACCTCTTTCCCATGGGTGTTGTTTTCACGTGCCTCCACAGATGTGTGAGGTGCTACAGTCAGAAAATGCAGTTTCAATCCTTCCTTCCATTTTTAGATACAGTTAAGGGAGAAAAATGTTTGCAGAGGTGGCAAGGTACATCGACCTGTGAATATGAGCAAGCACCTCAGATCATGCTTGTGATCTCCTATACCTTATCCAGCCTTTAATAATATTGTTAACTATATTATTCATTGTAAAAATAAATAAATGAAAAACCCAAAGTGATTATGCAGGAGGAGGAAAAATAGCATAGCACAACCCCATATGTGGTGAATCTGGAATTCACTATTGGAAATGTTAATGTATGCACCTGGCTTGGCAGCACAAAGGACTGCCCAGCTGCATAAGAAATATCTGGCATGGAGACAGAGTTGCAAGCTGGATATCTTATCTCAGCCAAGACAGGAGAAGTAATAAGGATGTAACAACCCTGACAGAGAAAAGTTGATGGCTATTTCTTGTGGACTTGTGATCAAATAAAATTGGAGATGAATAAAAGTGAAAATCACGTAACACCTTAATATAGATCTGTAGCATTAGATTAAATGGAGTCCAGGGATGAAATGGTAGAAGACCCTGAGATGCTGCTATATAGAGAGGGATTGAGGAGTGTTTACCTTTAGAGATTACTACCCCGGAGTGAGCTGAGATTTACAGAAAGTTGCTTAATTCTGCTCTCACATCCTCAGCCTAGGGGCTGGAGGGCTGGATCCCAAACTCTTGTGTGACTGAAACACTGTTTTGTTGGAGGAGCTCCTCAGCAGCAAGGTCATACTGTGCTGGGTGTGTTTTTTGGTAGGAGCTCAGACCCATGTTTTTTTTATTTATGTCTTAGAATAGAACAGAATATACTAGAATAGTTCAGTTGGAAAGGACCTACAATGATCATCTAATCCAACTGCCTGACTACTTCAGGGCTGACCCAAAGTTAAAGCATTTTATTAAGGGCGTTACCGTCACAGGAGAGAGTTGAAGGCTTTGACAAAGTTAGTAAAGAAGCCCTGCTGTTGAAGTCACAAGGTGCAGGAAGGACTCCCTTGCTTTCTAAACTCCTTCTCAGAGGAGAGTTTAGGTGCAACTAAATCCTATCTTAGCCTCAAACTGTGTGAACAGTTTAAATTTAAGGAATTATAGAAGTGTGATTAAATCACTTTGTCCCACAGGTTTCAATAATGGCAAAACAGAGATATTTATATAAAATGAATTATTTATTATGACAAATGAACAGACAAGTGAACAGATTCTAGGCCTTATAGGGGTAGGTCATCCTGCCACAGTTACCCAAATGCCTCTTAAACACTGATAGACATGGAGTATTGACCACCTCTCTAGGAAGCCTGTTCCAGTGTCTGTCCACCTTCTCCACAAATAAATGCTTTTGAATGTCAAGTCTAAACCTCATCTGATGCAGTTTTGAACCATTCCCACAGATCCAGGGAGAAGAGATCAGCAGGTCCCTCTCCACTTTCCCTCCTCAGGAAGCTGCAGAGAACAATGTAGTAGCCCCCTCAGCCTCCTTCTCTTCAAAATAGACAAACCCAGAGCCCTCAGTTGCTCCTTATAGGATATGCCTTCCAGTCCTTTCACCAGCTTTGTTGCCCTCTCCTGGAAGCATTCACATACCTTAACATCCTTCTTAAATTGTCTTGGGTTGATGGACATAATGTTTTGTCAATACAGGATCAGGTTGATTGTCAGGATACGTGGGCTGGGAGCTATGTTTTCACTTTGGTGCCAGGCTTCCTGGGTAGCAAGTACTTCCATCACCATTAGGTTTGTCCAACCATCTCATCTTGGTTACATCTGAAAGTGTTGCAGACATGATGCTCTCAGCAGTGCTCTCTCCAAGAGAGAAAAAGCTCTTCACATCTGCCCACCGTGTCCAATCCAGCCCCATGACAGGGGTCAGTAATGAATCTTTGTATTTATCCCTATTCTTTCCAATCCCAGTATCTTGGTCCCAGCTGCCCGTGCTTCATGACTGCTCCCTGCTCCCAAAACCTTATCAGCCCCATTCACACCTCCACCCCCACCTCCCAAATGCCCAAGTTTACCACAACATCATTTCCAAATGCCCCAACCCTAGCACCCACTTACAGCTGCCCCTCCACATGACCTGTTTCCATTGCTAATATGTCTAATAATGCATCCTGTTTTAAGTTACTTCTTTTCTTGAATTTTGAAGACAGCAAAAATACCTGCAGGACAAAGAAATATAGCAAGAGTTTTTTTTGCAGTGCTGGTTACCCATTTCCAGCACTGGGTGCACCTCTGGATCATACAAAGAGCACACACATTGTTTGAAAACTGCGCTTTTTGTACTTTTCGATATCAGTTGATGAATATTCATTCATTGTCCGTTTGTTGCCTTAAAAGGTAATTTCCCTGCTTTGGAGGTGGGTGTTACCTTTTGGCTGGTTGTAACTTACCTCCCCTGGGCTCGTACATCATCCCCACATTGCAAGGCATGGAGGGCCTCTCTTTGTATCCACATAGCACAGAGGAATACATTTTTATTTATAATTTGTTCCCTGTTCCCGACCGCAAAAGATTCCCTGGTGTTAGGTCCAGACAGGACCCTTCACCTTACAGACTCCACGGTACGCCTATAAGTTAGTAAATATGCAGAAATAGTTCTTTTGTTAGTGCCCTTTTGTTTATTTTAATTTGCTTGGAATAAAACCGGTGCCTTTACTTATCACACATCCAACCTGGAGGGCCACACTGTTACCTTCCCCAGTTGATGCCAGGCAGCAAGGACCTGATCCCTTAACACAGTATCCCAGCTCACACTATGGTCAAATATGGCTTTGCTCAGGCTTCGAGGAAAATGTTAGGTTGATTCAATGTCCAGAAGCTGAGCCCATTCGGGATTGTACTGTCCCTATTTCTATGGTAATCAAAGCACCTTTCCTTGCAGCCAACCTCCAGAACAGGCTTTGTCTGAACCAGCCTAACGCTGGGAAAGATGGGAGAAGCAAACTTTAGAGCTTTTCAGGATTTCTCCCTGTCTGCTGCCTGTCTCAAATGTTAATGAAAGAGGTAATCATGTGAGGCAGAAAGCAAGCCCTGATGTATTCAATAGGGTAGGCTGAAAATTTTCCATCAGGTCTGCTTTTGGAGAGAATATTGGTCTTTTTCCCCCCAGCTTTTCATTCCCCCCACTCTTTCAAAAACATCTGATGATCACAGAAAATAGAAACTGTCAAAGCAATGGAGCACTTTGAAGCCTGGGCAGCCCCCTCCAAGGCTCTTGTCTGCATTTCTGCCTATGCCCCTGGGGAGCTGCTCTAGCTGGTGTCCCCTCCCCCATGACCAGGCTGCCCTGTGGCTGACATGACTTTTTGACTTATATGACATTCCCCCTCCTAATCAGAACCAATATATCTCAGTGAAAGGATTGTCTTGTCCTCACAGATGGTCACTGCCCACCTGCAAGCAGGGCTCTTCATGAGGTGTGCTCAGCCACAAAATGTAGTTGTTCTCTCTTCATCTCCTTTTTCACCTGAAGGAATCAATTTGTTCTTTGGGCTCAGAGAACAATAAATAGGGTCTGGTATATTAACAGGTGGCTCCAGGAAGGAGAAGTCTTACCAGGAGAGGAGGAGGCTACAAAGAGTTAGATAAAGGACTTTGAAGCTCATGAGAAAGAGACCTTGAAAGCTGATAAAGAGAAGCTCCTGAAGAAGAACCAGTTTTGAGTTAATTGGACATTGCCAACTCAGCAATTCTTAGCAAAGGTAAAAAGTTTAAGCTGAGGAAGACTTCTTACTCCATTCAAAAGACCCCCAAAGACCCCTGAAAGAAAACCTCAAGGGGGCATTCTAAGGCAGAATTATAGGAGTGGTGTATGTTAATGATTTCCCCTCTCACTTTTCTGGAATTTGCTGACACAGCTAACGCATATGTAACACAACTAATGTATATGTAATACAACAAATGCATATGTAACATTATACTGCATAAAAAGAGCTGAACAAAGGCAATGGGTGTGTGTGATTGGCGGAATTATCCCCCATGCACCCGATGCCGTGAATAAACGTACCTGCTTCAATACTCTTTGCGAGTTTTGTAGTTTGTTTCCTCAAGTCAGGGTTCTCCCAGACATCTTCTCATGGCGGTGTCCAGCAGGGAAAGGAGAAAAAAAAAAAAAAAAAAAAAAAAACAAAAAAAACACCTTCTCCTCTGGTAAAAGAGGGGGGGGGACGGCCACATCCAAGGCATGGTGCTGGCTGGTTTTAAAGAGAAACCCCCCCCCCCGACTCCCATACTGCCCTGCGCGTGGGCCCACTCCTTCCCCCTTCCCGCCTCCCCGAACCCGGAAAAAAAACGTGTGTGGGGAGGTGATTGATATTGGGGAAAAATTCCAACATCTCTTTTTCAATCCTATAACATTATCCACCCCAAATTTTTTCCCATATTAAC